AGTACTCTCTACTCAGAAGGCTTTGATAATGAATTCCAATAGCCACACAGAACTCAGACCCCATTCTCACAGTTTATTAGATTACAATTCAGCATTAGAAGAGGTTACAATTCAGGATAAGAAATGCTTAGGGCACAATACTTTGAGTCACAAGAACCTCTTCCAACTATGCCCTTGGCCTCTCAGCTAAGCCTGACATGTTTGAGGACCAATCAAGGAAAGGTCAGTATGTCTAGAGTACAATAATTTAAATGAAGACTAGTAGATATGTCGTCAGAAAAATAAGGGAATGAAGGGGTACTTTTGCAATGTGCTTCAAACCTACCAGCCATTCTGTTAGAGAAAGATGAATCTGTTTACTCCTGTGAAGATTTGTTGTTGTTGGTAGGTGCCATAAAATCAGTTCCAACTCATAGTAACCCTATACACAACAGAACAAAATACTGTCCAGTCTTAACACCATCCCCACAATTGTTATGCTTGAGCCCACTGCGTCTGCTACTATGCCAGCCCATCTTGTTGGGGGTCATCCTCTTTTTCCTCTGGTCCTCCACTTTGCTAACTAAGCATGATGTCCTTCTCCAAGGACTGGTACCTCTTGGTAGTATGTCTGAAGTATGACAAGTGAAGTCTGGACACCCTGGCTTCACATGAGCATTCTGGCTGTACTCCCACCACAGATAAGTTTGATCTTCTGGCAGTCCATGGTACTTACAATAATCTTCTCCAACACCATAACTCAAATGGATCAATTCTTCCACAGTTTTCCTTATTCACTGTTCAACTTACGCAATATAAAGTTTTGCAGTCTTAGAAACACTGTACAGGGTCACTATGAGTCAAAATTGACTTAATGGCAGTGAGTTTGGGGATTTTTATTGTTGCTATTTTTGGTATGTCCATGAATCCCTTTTAAGGGTTTTTAGATTTTGGTTTTTACTTAGTAATAAGGAAGTCATTAGAAGGTTTTGAGCAGAGCAGTATCATAATCTTATAATTTAAGAGAACAGTGTGGCACTGTGAAGTCCTGGTGTGGCTCTGTGGGTTAATGTACTGAACTGCAAAGTCAGTATGAACCACAAGGTCGGAGGTTCAAGCCGGGCAAACTTCTCCTTAGAAACAAGGTTGCTATGGGTCCGAAATGAATCCATGGCACTTAACAACAAAAAATGTGGAATTGTAGGAAAAGCACAGAACTTCTAATAAACAATCAAACAAACAAATTCTCCAAGGGTAGCATAGTCCCTGTTGACTTAACCAAACTGTACAGGCATACCATCACAATTTGATTGTTGGCCCCAAGACAAACACTTCAGTTTCAGAGTAGAGAGAATCTCTAGGGAACTGCAAAGGTTCAATCTGACATAAATACAAAATGAGATGCCCTGCTTCCATCTCTGGACTAGACACTGACTCAAAGCTACTTTCTAATAAAATGTTACGATTTCCTTCCCTGGTTGTCGTTGTGGTTGTTGTTAAGTCTGCCAAGTCATTACACAGAATCTATTCATAGATTCACATTTCAGCGAGCACTGCTGGATATTCCAATCTTCTAGCTGTTCAAGTGGGAATTCTGATGTGGTGCTTTAGGATAAGCACTAGACTGAAAGGTTGATTTGAACCGCAAGGTTGGTAGTTCAAACTCACTAGTCACTTCCTGGAAACCCCACATAGGGTCTCTATGAGTTGGCACTGACTTGATGGCACTTAACAAGAACAAAGCTACTCAAATACTATGAAGACACTTCTGATTACTCTTTTCCTTTATATTTTCATAATTCTCATTTGGGCTCTATTCAAAATATAGCCAGTAATAGACTACTTCAAGGAGCTCTGGTAGCATAGTGGTTATGAATTGGGCTGCTAACCTCCAGGTCAGCAGTTCGAAACTACCAGTGGTTCCGCGGGAGAAAGATGAGGCATTCTGCTCCCGTAAAGATTTATAGCCTCAGAAACCCTGTGCAGGGTCACTATGAGTCGGACCCAACTCCACGGTACTTAACAACATCAACAATAATAGACTACTTCAAACCATTCTACCTCTATCAGGTTTAAGATACACCATTTCCTGTTTGAATTACAGCAACAGCCTTCTTACTGGTCTCCTTGTTTCTGTCCTGATGGCCACATAGTTTCTGCAACTTTCAGACCCACTCCAGATTTAGAATGCTGTTGTTGTTAAGGGCGTTTATTTGGTTCCAATACACAGTGACTCTGTATAGTGTTTCCAAGGATTGGCTGGTGGGTTTGAAGTGCTAACTTTGTATTCTGTTCAAACAATTGCCTCTTGATCTATTGACAGGTTCCTCATGAACACAATTAAATGTTATGCAATACTCATTCTTCATAATGTTGTCCATAGTTTGTCATGATCCACACAATCGAAAGCCAGCCCAATCTTCATTTTCTAAACACATCATGCGTTATTTCATCTGGGAACTTTCAAAATGTTTAGGATACTCTTACCCTCATTCCATATATATGGCTCCACAGTGGTCCAATGTTTAAAGTGCTTAGTTACTAACACAAATTTTGGTCATTTGAAACCAGCCGCAACTCTACAAGAAGATGGATTTTTTTATATTTACCCAGAAAGATTTCAGTCTAGGAAACCTTGTGGGACAGGTCTATATCCTACCAGATTGCTTTGAATAACAACCAACTTGGCAACACGCTAAAACTATGTATGACATGAATGCTTTTTAGAAGTTTACAGACAAACTGGAGACTTCTTTGAGTCTACTTCTTTAGACTTCAATCATCTCTTCTTTGAAGTCTACTTCTTTAGATTTCTTCATATACCCTCTGCCGGCCCCTACACACTTTTTCCATTATGAACATCTTACATTAGTGTGGTGCATTTATTAAAACTGATGAAGTAGTTATGATACATCATTTTAATTGAAGTCTAAAAATTACATCAATATTTTTTTACTCTTTGTGCTTCACAGTTCTATGAGTTTTGACAATTGCACAATGTCATATAACCACATTATTATTATTACCCAGAATGGAGTCCTGGTGTGGCGCAGTGAGTAAATGCACTGTACTGCAAGGTCAGTGGTTCAAACACACCAACTGCTCCTCAGAAACCCCATACAGGGTCACTATGGGTCAGAACCAACTCGACAGCACTTAACAGCAACAATACTACCCAGAATAGGTTTCATGTCCTTAAATTACCTGTGCTTCACTTACTCATCCTTCCCTCCTCTTGAACCACTGAATTCTCTCTTTCTAGTATCTTGTAAAGAATGTCATATACAAGGGGGTTTCGAAAACTTCTCATAAACATTTCAATATCTTTTTATTCCATTTTTCCTCAAACTTTTTGAAGCAACCTTGGAGTTGGAACCATGCATTACATAGCCTTCTCAGGCTGGCATCTTTCACTTAGAAAGCTTGTGTAAGTTTCTTCGATATACTTTCCTAGCTTGATAGCTTGTTTATTTTTATCGTTGGATAATTCTCCATTGTATGAATGTATTTCAGCTTATTTATAAATTCCCTTGTTGGAGGATAACTTGTGTTTTGTTTTTGTTTTTCCTAATTTTGGGTAATGATAAATGGAGCTGCCTTAAACATTTATATGCATATTTTTATGTGGACATATGATTGCAACTCATATGACTAAATTCCTAGGAATGTGATTCCTTGGTCATAGAAGCCTCTGTTTAGCCTTGTAAGAAACTGCCAACCTGTCTTCCAAAGTAGCTGTACCATATTGCATTCTCACCAATTTACCTCCACCCTTTATTCAGCTAGGAGCTCTGGTAGTGTAGTGGTTAGAAATCGGCCTGCGAACCTTAAGGTCAGCAGTTTGAAACTACCAGCTGTTTCGTGGGAGAAAGATGAAGCTTTCTGCTCCCGTAAAGATTTACAGCTTCAGAAGCCCCATACAGGGTCGCTATGAGTCAGGTCCGACTCCACGGCACATAAACACCACCACTTTATTCAGCTAAATGATGTTCAGCCATGATATTCAGTGAGCTTCTTGAAAGACTTCCTTCACTCCTCAAATCCAGCTCTGGTGTCCTCCCGATTCAGTCTTGCCTCAGCATATATCAAACCATTTTTAATTGTCTATTTAAATGTTTATTGCCCTTTGGACACTAAATTAATACAAAAATAATGTATATTTCATTCAATATTATGACCCTCAGTTGAAGCATATGTTGAGTAGTCAGAAATAACAGCCACTTAATTTGTATTTGTCAAATTAATTACTCATCAAGCTAGTTCTTTAATGAAAGGTTCCCAATTGTCTTCCAGTTTATAAGGCATCTCTCCTTCCTTTGGAACTCTTTAGATTTTAACACTGTGTATGTTATATATCACCTTATACTTCTCTTGTGTTCACATATATTAAACAAGCTTCTTAAGTGTAAATTCATATCCAGATTATCAACAATATTCTCCCAGATTATCAACAATACAGCTTTAAGTATACTTAGTCACCAAGAAATGTTCATTGAATTAGTTAATGACTACATAGAGTTTAGATGTTAAATTGTATTTTAGAATTGTCAACATGACTGGTTTACATTTTGAAAGGGAAATGGTGAGAAGTAACTCTAGATAGGTAAACTGAGACCAGATACTGAAGGGATGAATTTGTTTGACTTCTTGCTAAATATGGTAGAGTCTGTTCCTACTTTGAAAACTGAAGACATGTTGAATTTGTCCTTAGGATAAATTTTGTTCAACAGAAATAAAGTACCATCTGTATCCATACCCAGTGTTTGATAAATCTTGCTACTGTTGAGGATTTGGTCTTTCATCAAATTTAGAGGAAAAACCTGGATATAAAAGACAATTATTCAGCTAACCATATTTTAGAATTTTATCTGAGAATTGTCTTTAGTTCTGACAATGATAAACTGTTTCAATACATCCTTTAATTATCCGGGGTCCATGGTTTTAATCACAGTGCTGTGCTGCTATGAAGTGCTGTGGAATATATTTAATCTCAATATTAACCCTAATTAATTTCCCAACAGGTTCTTTGACTCTGAGAACACATCATGTTCAAGATTCTAAAATGGGATTCGTAATCAACGCAATTTACTCCATGGCCTATGGGCTCCACAACATGCAGATGTCCCTTTGCCCAGGCTACGCGGGTCTCTGCGATGCAATGAAACCAATTGATGGGCGGAAACTTTTAGACTCCTTAATGAAAACCAACTTTACTGGTGTTTCTGGAGATATGATCCTATTTGATGAGAATGGAGACTCCCCAGGAAGGTAATGTTATAGTTCTCCTATAGACAATGTTGTGTTGTTGTTAGTGCCGTAGAGTCGGTTCCAACCCATAGCGACCCTGAACAGGGTTTCCGAGGCTGTAAATCTTTATGGGAGCAGAAAGCCTCATCTTTCTCCCACGGAGCAGCTGGTAGTTTTGAACTGCTGACCTTGCGGTTCGCAGCCCGATTCATAACCACTACACTACCAGAGCTCCAATAGACCATGAATAATAGCTAAGACAGAGGATGATCCTATTTCTTGGGGTGAGGGAAGGTATTGCTACGAATAACCACAATGTGGTTTTGGGATCATTGTGACATTTCAGGGAGTGCTGATATGGTGCTGTAGGAAAAGCATTAGACCTCCTTCAAGGTTGGTTTGAGCAGCTTTTGAAATCACCAGCTGCTCCTCAGAAACCCTCTAAGGGTCGCTATGAGTCAGAACCGATTCGATAGTACTTAACAACAACAACAAGTTTAAAAGCAGGAGCCTCCTATTATCCTTGGTAATCTAAAGTAAGCTTGGTGGTTTTTTACACACATATTTTTCAAATTATTCCTTTTATTTGTTTATTTTTCACCCCCTGGGTCATATTCTGAAACAAGAGCTATTCAAATTTCTGTTTATCCAGTAATAAGGTTGAAGTATTTGTATATTGTTTTCTACCAACAGTGAGTTATAAATCATATTATATTTTATTAACCTCTAGTTGAAGCACTTTCTTTCTTGTTGAGGACTAAATTGCCCTTTTCTCTAAAAATTCACCTTTCATTATTTATAGAGAGGAGCCTGAGAAAAAAGAACTTACTCATAATTATCAGTCAGCCTCCAGGGAAATCTCCAGATACCTAGAAACATAAAAATATTCACATTTAACTCATAAATTCCTACATTAACTCTACAGATGAGATTTTTATTCCATGAAGCATGACGTCATTAACTGGACATCTTGAGTTGTAGCAAGACTGTGTCACACTAGGTTTTGCATAAGAGCAGTCAGAGTCCTCTTCCCTAAGTGCTATTCCAGCACAGCTAATGTTTGACAACTGTCATTCCTCAGCTGAGCTGTACTGCTTGGAGAGGCTGGCTGTACACTGTTTGCAGTTGACCCTGCCAAGAGTCTCTCCACAACTCACATTTCAAGAGTCCACAGAGCCTATGAGCAATCTTGATTTAGGCATCTTCTGTATTTATGAAGTGTGCTGGACTTGGTACCTGATGCAATATCTGTTATCATATGTGCTAGACTTGTGTCTAGCTCATTTGTGGTCTTACAGCCAAGACAAGAACTAGATACTTTCACTATTCTAGAGGCTTGACCAATCTTATTATATTCAAGATAAGCTGATTTTTCACCTGTGGTTTACTACTTTTTGGTTTTTCAATGTATCCATGAAAATGCAAGCTTTTTTTTTTTTTTTTCAGGGCCAAAAAAACCATGTTTGTTGTAAGGTTTCTTGGGGCAGATTGATGAATGAACTCAATTTTTAGGCTCAGAGCAAGATTTAGGTTCTGATAGCTACACATGGGTTTATTGTTCCTTCATGTATCTCTAGAGCACTGGAACCAACTTGAGGCTTGCTTTAATGATTGAAACTCTACTAGTTCAATGAGTATTAATGTCATGTACCCGATTTCCACATCCAAGGTAATGAAGAAGTGTCTCAGATGGCTCTGTTATTTTTCTAAGAGAAAATCTTAAATGGATTATGCAGAACATCACTATTTTATATATGCTCTCCTAAATATGCTGTGATGGAGCACTTTTGGGATACTGGTTCTTAACTTTTCATTAAAACGTAATCCTCTTTAATACTTAGATGATATTTATTGATTTTCACCTCAGAACATTATATGGAATATTTTACAAACAATTTTTTATAATTCACGGCTTAGAGACCTTCCACATGCTATTAAGAATAGATAGCAGTACACTGTTGTCATTACATTGTTAGGTACCAGCAAGTCAATTCCCACTTACAACAACCATTAGTGCAACAGCACAAAACATTGCTGTGAACCATTTCACAGTCATTGCTATGATTGAGCCCATTATTGCAACTCTCATGCCAATCCATCTTGTAAAGGGTCTTCCACTTTTTTGTTGATCCTCTACTTTACCAAGGACTTTACCTTCTCCAAGGACTGGTATAACACATCCAAAGTAGATAAGACAAAATTCCACCAGGATCAAATCTAAGTAGCATTATGACTGAACTCCTTCCAAGGCAGATTTGTTAGTCTGACAGTCCATAGTATGTTCAATATTCTTCGACAACATAATAATTCAAATGTATCACTCCTTCTCTGCTCTTCCTTGTTCATTGGCCAGCATTCAGAAAAAAATAAGGTGATTGAAAACATCATCGTTTGAGTCAGGTGCAACTAAATCTTTAAAGTGAAATCCTTGCTTTTTAACACCTTGAAGAGATATTTTCTAGCAGATTTGCCCAGTGCAATGCATCATTTTAATTTTTACTACTGTGGGGACTGTTTGTGGATGCAAATAGACCATCAATAAATTATCACATAGCCTTATAGTATTCGCCTTTCCATATGAAGAAATTGACGATTTTAAAGGTTAAACAACTTGCCAAAAGATACAATCTAGTAAATATTAAGGCCAATGTTTAACTTAGACTCTTAGACTTCATCTTGTACCTTCATACAACAGAATACCAGTTATTCAAACTACCAATATCTAACAAAAAGCCACAATATTCTGAGAAATGTATTTGTACATATTTCTTGTTATATAGCAACAATTATGTGGGTTTTTTTTTTTTTTTCTACAGAGTAACAATTATTTTTTGCTCACTTGGATCAGAGACATTCCAAGTTGGGCACAAAACCAGAGAAACCTGGGTTACTTTAGATTCTTCTAAAATGAGAGTCATAAAAGGAGGACAAGTTTGTCAGTTCAAATTCACCAGTTTCTCCTCAGAAATCCTATACAGAGTCACTATGAGTTGGGTCCAACTCAATGGCACTGAACAACAACTATAACAAGCAAGAAGCTAAGAGAGGGGACAACTCATTTTGATACATGCACTTGTGATGGTTGGAGAAAAAAAATTAATCATTGTTTTTAAACCACATACCTAGTTAAATAACTAATGGTTCATAATCCTTAAATGAAGCCTTGATGCTATATGTATTTCAAAATTCAGATTTTTTTCAATTTAGAAAAATTTTAGAGTTCATATAATGCCTCCAGCAGTGTGAAAAAAGAACACTATTTAAAACACACACTGATATTTCTTCAGCAAAAACACATATGAATATTTACTCTAATTGTGATAAATTAATCTATAAGTAGCCTCATAGCAGTTTGGGTGAGGTTTATCAATAGATAGCTTCAAATCAGGTCATATTGAGTTGTGACAAAAACGTAAGGCTTTCAGAACTCTAAGGATTTCAAATTACTGATGAGAAAGAATAACCTTTAGTAGTTACCATCAATGGTTTAGATCAAAGGTTGGCAAACAGTGATTTGTGAGTAAAATCCAGCCTGTTTTTTTTTTTTTTTTTTTTTAAATAGGGTTTTATATAAACACAGGCACACTCATTTGCTTAGGTTTCATCTAAGACTGCTTCCTGTGGAGCACACTTCTACTCTGACACTCATGGGGTTACCTAGAGTTGGAGTCGCCTCAGTGGTAGCTGGTGTGGCTGCTTTCATACTGCAGTGATTAATTGCAACAGAGAACCATCACGCAAAGCCTAAAATATTGCTATCTGTCCTTTTGTAGCAAAAGTTTGATGACTTCTGTTATAGAACTTCCACTGGGAAATTTAAGTTTAAGAGACCTGGCTGATGCCTGAGATTGAACATAACTAGACATGGACAGAGAAACACAAAGAAACAGTATCGGACTGAGAACAACTTAATGGAAAATGATAACATTATTTTGTGGGGCTTATACAGGGTCGCTATGGGTCAGAATCGACTCAACGGCCCTTGACAACAACAACAACATATTTGACAACAATGGCATAGAGGATGAATCTTATGTTTTATGTTAAGTGGCATAGTATTACATTTAAGTAGGAAAAGATATTACAGATGTATTATCTTGAAAAGCAGCTATACAATGATATAAAGAAAAATCACTAACAAGTAAACATATAAAGAAATAATGATATCTACATATTTTTGTTTATGTGAAAAGAAGGCATAAAAAAGAGGGAAGAGAGGGAAAGAAGGAGTTGATTTTTCTTAAGTGTCGGTTGAGTCAGTTCTGACACATAGTGACTCTGTGTAGGGTTTCCAAGGAGAAGAAATGTAGTCCACTAGGTATTTGCAGTTATCCAATAAGTCTCGCTTGCTGAAAGTGAAGAGGACTTACAACATTTACTGATGAAGATTAAAGAGCACAGCCTTTGGTATGGATTACATCTCAATGTCAAGAAAACAAAAATCCTCACCACTGGACCAATAACATTCTTATCAACAGAGAAAAGAATGAAGTTGTCAGGGACTCATTGAAGTTATCAACACTCGTGGAAGCAGCAGTCAAGAAATCAAATGACGTATTGCATTGGGCAAATCTGCTGCACAAGACCTTTTTTTTTAAAGTGTTAAAGAACAAAGATGTCAGCTTGAGGACTAAGGTGTGCCTGACCCAAGCTATGGTATTTCAATAACTTCATATGTATGTGAAAGCTGGACAGTGAATAAGTAAGACCATAGAAGAATTGATGCTTTTGAATTATGGTGTTGGAGAAGAATATTGAAAGTGCCATGGGCTGCCAAAAGAACCAATAGATCCATTTTGGAAGAAGTGCAGCCAGAGTGCTGCTCCTTGGAGGCCAAGATGGCCAAACTTTGTCTCTCATACTTTGGACATATTGTCAGGAAGGATCAGTCGCTGGAGAAGGATATCATGTTCGGTAAGGTGGAGGGTCAGAGAAAAAAAGGAAGAACCCCAACGAGATGGATTGGCCAAGTGGCAGCATCAATGGGCTCAAGCGTGACAATACTAGTGAGGTTGGCCCAG